ACACTGGCGCAGCAGTGCGAGCCATCCTGAAAGAGACATTGGCAGATGTGGGAAGCTTGAGCTCCGAACACGATCGTGAAGAAGACCGCGGCGACGGAGAGAAGGCGGACCATGATGACGAATTGAGAAGAGAGGGTAAGTTGAAGTAGAGTTGGGTGTTGAAGTAGTGAGGGAAGTATTGCTGGTCGCTGTGATATCCTCACTGCAGAGGCGAAATCACCTGCCTTTTTAACATGTTCTCCTGTATCTATCACATTATCCTGAAGGCGAAGCATTTCGTTAGTATCGTGATAGCAACATGGGTAAAGCGGATTGATTAGTCTGTTTTCGGACCTTCTCGTGTATCTCTTTCGGACCTTTTACTACCTGCTCAACCAGGTACCAATCTCGGCTTCCTTCCCCAACTGTTCTTTACACACCGCAAATTGTAACTAATCGAGAGGATCTAAAGCCTCATCGGTACACCTCTCGACGATACTTCGGTGGCCATTAACAGTGGCCCAAGCACTGGACCTCTTAGCTTAGCGGAGCTTGTCTTTCTAAGCCAAGATAGGACTTGGTCTTCAACACGTGGTTAAGATATACGAGGTGTACTTGCGCTTCATAGGTAAGTACCGTGTTCATCGCATAGCTTGGTCTATCAGAACACCCCTGAGGTCGTATTTTGTTCGGCCCTCAAAGTAGCAGGGAAACAATGGCGATAATTGTCACTCTCGATTCCACCGCAGTCACCTGTGAGAGAGCCCGAGGCATTCGTCCGGAAGCCAACAAGACAGCGCGTATCTCTAGACCCTAGACATCGTGAAGTATATATAGCACATAGGCCCGCCCTCTTCGTTCACCTACTCCACTTCGTACCAACCTATCTCCATCTTCTTCCAGACCAACGTCAAGATGGTCCGCCTCTCCGCCGTCTTCGGCCTCCTCCTTACCATGGCCGTTGGTACCCAGGCTTCTATCTACTGCCAGTGCTTGTACCAGGACGGCTCCCATTGCTGTGTCGCTGTACGTGCCTCGAACTCCTTAGGGAGAGAGACACGGGACTGACCAAAATTTTAGGATAACAATGGCGGCTGCACCAGATCTTGCTTGAACGTCGCGCCGCTGTTTGAGGACGACAAGCCCTGCAATGCTGGAGGAAAACACTCCGACGTGAGCTTCTTCACCGCCCAGGGCCGCCATGCATGCAACGACTAGGTTGGTCATGAAACATTCAAGGGCGTAAGAGGGAGGTAGGATAAGGGACGATCAAGACAACAACTTGGAAAACGTATAGCGAGCTCGGAGATGACCGGCTTTGGTGGTGCTGGATGACATCCATATAAACCATATCCTCATAATTCCATTGTCTTCTTGTTCTTAGGATGAAGGGGTTCTTCGCACTGGCTTTGCAGCTTTTAGTTCTTATCTAACATTCGTCTCCCATTACTTCTTGTCTTGCTGACCGTTGCTATCATACTTCGCGTAATATACATGCATCGTAAGTCGTTTAAGTGCCATATATGACAACTAGTATGTCCAGATCCAAATCTGCAGCTGGAATGAAATCTAACTCTTTCTTCCATAAATTATCAGGCCCCTCATCTGCACATCACTTGTCATCATACAGCCATGCCCGCTATGCCAACTCCAACAGCTGCAGCAAGGCCCTTGGCCCAGCCTACTCCTTGTGTAGGTGCAGCGTTCACCACGATCGTCCGCGTCACTCCTGTCTTACCAGTGAGCGTACCCATACCGATCGATCCTGACCCTGGAAGTGGGGCGTTCGTCTGAAGAGGCTTGAAATCCAGCGATATAGTGTATGGCCACCAAGTGGAATATGTCCCTCCGATCCATGTCTCGGCCCACACCACGGTGTAGAAGGGTACGTTGCTGAATGGTTTCGCCAATCGCGTAACATCTGCACCTGCAGTTCCGGCAACATTGATGGGTGGAGCTGCCGGCGCGATGGCATTGACAGGAGGCGCAAGAGCTGGTGGTGGTACAGGATTGACGACAGGATCAACAGCGGGAACAGGTATAGCTACAGGCGCAGGTAATGCAGGCATCGGAAGTGCAGGATCGACAGGAAGAGCTGGGGCAGGTTCTGCAGCTGGTATCGCTGTAATTATGGCTGGTGGTTGCTGAACAGGCGCAGGTGCGCCCTCGACTGGAGCAATGCCGGGTCCTTGACGAAGCCTATGCAACCGTTAGTACCCTGTCACATCACAATCCTCTAAATTGGGAAGTTACTCAATGCCGCCCACGCCAGCGATAGATGTCGCAGTAGGCGAAACCGATGTAGGGACCGAAGCTGGGCTCGCGCCTATTGTTGTTGTAGTCTCCTCTACATCTGGCAGGTACTCAGACTCAGCGAAGAGTCTACCGCTTATGATTGCCGATAAAAGAAGGACGTAGAAGTCTTGGACGCGCATCTCGTCCCGTGCCGAGAGGTGAGAGAAGGACGCTCGGCTGCTGTTGTCGAATGTGGGAATTTGAGACTGAAGCACCAAAGCCTGACCTCGAAAGCTGACAGACCGACCGGCAGATGGGATGATATCCCAGACTCGAGCTTCACGCCAGAAGAAAAATCGGTGCAGTTACTCGTGTCGAGTTTGAGACAATGTTGCGATGCCGCTTGGAATTTGATATGTATCGTACTGCACAATGGAAAACAACAGGTAAAGTCTGAACAAGCCAAAAGAGCCAAAAGCCAAAAATCGAAAGCCTAGAGACGCGCGCGAGTTGCTGAAGCCAAAAAGAGCGTAGACGTGCAGAAAAGAGTGTGGTTGAAAAGCTGCAGTGTTGATACCTCGCGATAAGGATGCAAATGCAGCGACTGGACCCTGAACCAGAACAGCAGGAGCGGCTCTCCTTGCGGATAGGAAGCAACTGCCAGCATCTCTATCACGACTGCCGTTATACATTACGGGAAGGTGTAGCTCCTGCTTCATGGCCATGGTACGACTTTGGAGATGGCTCTAACTTACCCGATTGATCCCACGGCGTTATTTGACACCTAGGCATCGTTTACGCTGCGGGTCGTTGGGCATACCTGAAAGCTCATGCGACTGAAAACATACTTACGAGTCCCTATTCATGCATTATGTCCATACACCCTATCTGTGATGCAGTCCCTGAGCTACCTAGGTAGCATTTACTGTGTACTGAAGTCGTCGGTCCTGATACATCCGTTAACAGATCTCGGGATCGGCCAACTAGTTCCATGCATGCAAGTCGAGAACGCAATGTGGCTATGTAAGCCGCAATCGAAGTCGGAGGTCGTCTTGACAACACAGTCTCGCCGACCCGGTTCATCGCACCACCGGCGAACGCTAATGCAATGCCAAACAGAAACAAGCCTTTTCCCGCTCAATAGTGCATCCTGAAGAGAGCAAGATTGCCGCCATGCTGAAGCTTAGGTGGCTGCAAGAGATCTGAGCAACGCAGGGGGCGCGCAAACACAAGCTTCATGCAGGATGCAAACAGGAGGGGATCCGATGCAGCGTCTGGTAGCCGAGGAGCGAGGATAAAGGACGCGCGAGTGTAAGAAAACAAGAAGAAATCAACTGTCTCCAGAAGCTCTCCGGTAGTAGCGTCCTATCTCGATAGGTGTCACAACGAGCTCGAAATCGAGTCATCTCACGACGAAGTGTCAGAACATCTCCTCGCCACTCTCAGCTCCCAATAGACTTGCAGCCCCACTATCACGGGAGTACCTGGGCCGTCTTCAGCAACCGCCGCTCCACCAACATTAGAGTCCAAATTGCCGGTGTACAACGGCGCCGAGTTACAGGCCCATTACGTCACTGAGCTGGCACTACTACTGTGCAGCTAACCCCAAGTACCGAAACGCACCGGCAGACGCCACAGCAGAAATTTGGCGCGGGTACGGCACTAGACCGCGCGTCAGCGTGCAAGTGCAAAACAACGCTGGGGAGAGTTTAGCGGTCGCAGTGGGAGGTTTCCCGGGCCTTGTAGGTTCAGTCTATAGTCGTAGTTTGAGACTCGCGTCGAGTTGAGGTGCAGGAGGATCTTCAGGCAATTCTGGCAAGCTCGCCGGATGAGCTACATGCCGCGAACATGTTCTCTGACAACTGAGTCACGGACGCGTCCCGACAGCAGGGCAAGATTTCGATAGGCTTGCATAGCGCGTCTGATTGGCGTTGTTGGTCGAGGGCTGGTCGAGACGCGATGGAGGGTCTTCCGACGCTTCCGGAGTGAGGCTCCGTTGGTAGTAGCCCGGCCAGCTCCACTGAGCAGGATATCAGCCATCGCAACTCCGATGCTAGCTGAGTAGTTCTTGCGCGTATGCAAGGTACAGTTGTTGCAAACTGGGATCTCTGCAATTGATGAGATGCAGGGCAACACCCTTTTTCATCCTAGAGTGCGTGTCAGTAATGAGATGACACAAACGACTGCAAGGGCAAAGGTTAAATTGAATTGTTTAATTTTCTTATGGCAGTAGCTGTCATGGGCTAGGATATATCGACGCATAATGGTCTAAGATGGTATCTTCCGATTCTTTTCTCTTTCCAATGCAAAAACAGGCGACGCGATGGTATGCGGCATGGGGGTATGAGGGCCGAAAGGACGGTTGTGGAACAACAGCTTCCGGCGGAGTGCACTCCGATACAATAAGTAAAATCTCTGCCACAAAGGGCCGAGGTAGAGAAGGAGCCGCTGCTGGACCAGGGCAGAAGGCGTGGGCAAACGGGCTGACTGCGCAGAACCCCGTGCGAAGGGTATATACAAGAAGAGAATATATAAAAGGGTAAAGACACTATAGGCGGTGCTGCGCCATGAGTATGTTGCTGAATCAAAGAAAAGTGTGAGGCGGTGCGAAGACGGGCCCGTGTAGAAGTCGAAGTGAAAAGTGCAAATCGGACTGCAGTAGTCGTATTACTCCAAGAACGCTGTAGAAGTGGTCGTATGCTCGTAAAAGTTCCCAGCCCATGGCCCCAGATATAGGGAACAAGTGGAGTGGGAGGAGGCGGTATTAACTGTCCTGATAATGTCTATTACGCCAGCGTTAAGCTGAGAAGTGTGACGAATAAGGGGACCACGATCGATAATGATTGCGCACCGAATGTGCTGGTCGCGCTACCTGTGTATGTTGTTTGACCGGGTGTCATATCGTCTCCATCTTGCGAGAAGAAGTAGGTTTTCGCTGCCTCTGGGCCCTTGCTCTGATCCGGTGGGCTCATCTGGTTAGGGATGGCGCAGACTTTGGCGGGGTCATATGTCGGGCAACGCTTCTTGTAGTCGTTCTGCGAGCGTTCGGTATCAGTCGAGTTGAAGTATGACTTCATGTACGAGATGGTCATGACGGTGTCTTGATCCGGGGGTCCAGCAGACCACGATGGGTCACCGTTGCTCCAGTGGTTCAGGAAAATGCCGCCGCTCTCCGTGGGAATGTTCTCGGTCATCTCGTGGAGGAATACACCGTCAACGTAGAAGGCGACGCGGTTAGGGGTCCAGTCGAAACGGTACTCGTGGAACAGTTCGTCCGGACGGAAAGGGAGAGCCTTGACTTCGAAGCCGTTTGTTCCTTGAGCAGCGTAGCCGTGCGTAACGGATTCCGGGCTTTGGAGAACGAGGTTTACGGCGCCTTGGGAGTTGTTGAACTGGTGAGACAGGAACTCCATGTCAATTTCTTGCGAGTTGTTGTGGTACTGTGCTTGTTAGTCAAGTTTCAGACTGAAGAAGAGGGTGTGGGATCTTACGAAGAAGAAAGCGCCGCAAGTTCCCGAGGAGTTCGACAGCTTCATGCCGACACGGAAGCTTCCAAGTAGAGAGTCGTTGCGCATTGTGACAAGCTCGGCTCCGCTAACGAGACCATCTTGATGGTCGCCGCGAACCCACAACTCTAGTCCGGCATCACCGCCATGGTCTGCATCACCCGACCAGCCCTTCTTGAAGGGGTTCGTGACAATGTTTGTCAACTCCATGCTCTTTCCAAAAGGCCCTCTAGCGTTCGTCGAAGTAACATTGTATTCCTGCGGCTGCCAGCCAACCTCTTTCAAGTCGTCGGTCGAAGTATGTAAAAAGTCATTTTCCATGAGCTCTGTGAAGACGGCATAGTTCGAGTCGCTTGTGCTGTTAACCGAGTAGCCGCATTCGCAGGCAGCGTTGGCTGAAAGAGGTTCACCGGTCAGCACGAGTTCACATTGGGAGTCGCAGGCGAGGAGCCGACTTACAGAAGCGGGACAAAGCGAGTAATAGTAGCGACGACGTCGCGCCCCAAGTACTGCGGGACAACATGTTGAGAAGATTAGATTAGAAGCGAGTGACTGTAAAGGTGAACCCTTTGCGACGGACGGAAAAGAAAAGTAGTAAAGAGCGTGCGAGGCGGGAGTCGGGTGGTTGATGTGCAGCCGGCCAAAAGTAAAAGAGGTCGGATGGCTGATGGCAGGCAGCGCAGAGGCCGATGATGAACTGCTGGGCCCTCGTGTGCAGAAAGGCAAAGTCCGGCACGCACGCCCAAAGCAGCGCAATTACGGACGCAGGAACCACTCACGTCGCCCTTGGGGTCTGGGCACCTCCGCTATTTTCCTCAGGGATCGCCCGTTAATGCCACCGAAATAACGTGTACGAGGTAACTTTGTGGGTCGCCAGGAAGGTCCAAGTCTGGGCTAAGAGACGTAGCGCACGTCTAAGCTGCTGCTCCAGCGCGGAGTGTCAGTAGCTTTGGCGTATCGTATGCAGGAACCGCCTTTGGTCAGCTGGCTGCTATGGCTGGGACGTGGTGGCTGACTGGGAGAACTACGATGAACGCTGGAGGCGGCTGGTGAGAAGACAGGACTATCTCCGCGCGACTCCATTCGCGCCTCCTCCGTGCCCATCCGTCAACGCTGCTGTCACCCACGCTGGGAGGCGCGATAACACATGCACCATCCCTCAACCCCCTCAGATGCTCGGAGCCACAGAGTCCATCGACTGGCCAGCGTTCACCACAGCCGTCGCACTACCTCGCCCTCCTTGATTGGCCACTGCCTTGATTCTGCCCAGTCACAATCGAGATCGCACCCAGTACAATGTCTTGTGATTATATCCAGGCGAGCGTAGTCGCAATGCCCTCCTGAATGCTTTGCTACGTGCGTCGCAAAGCTCCTATTCCAGATTCCCGAGACCAGGCACCCCCACTGCGGCCGTCTTAGACGAGTAACAGCTCACGAGCGCCATGCATCCTCTGCATCCTTTCAAGTCTTTTCCGCTCTTAGTGACAGCCTCGGGGAATAGCGAGCGTATGGCAGGCCACAGAAAACGCCCCTGCCGCGCCGTTGCTGTGCACGCCTGATTACAGGGTAACGCAATGCCTGCGAGTGCAGCAAGAAATTACCCATCGCTATCAAGCGAGGAGCAGGGGGTACGACGCTCTGGCCGCATCGATGATTACAATCTCAACCTTCTGCTTGATGAGGTGCCATGACGATGCGTGTGCTCAACATGTTCATAACGAAAAGTTGGTCGCATCCATAGACGAGAAGATGTGCATCTGATTTTGTTTATTGCTGATCACCCGAAGTGATAGGCGCCAAAGCAATGCAGCACCCCTATTCCCCATTCCGGCGGACCTCGGATCCCACAACCCACAACACCAAGGCTCAGCAACATCAGCAACCCGCCCAAGCTCTTGTCATCCTCTTCGCACAATCCCAAGTCCTGGCAAGACAGCACATTGTCCACCTCGGCATTATGTCATAAGCCTTGATGGCTGCACACTGCACCGTGCGCCCGCGTCTTCTGACAGGCCAGAAACACAAAAGCTGGGGTATGCTACCACAACGGCTGTCGTTCTTTTGGCCACTTTCCCTTGTCAGTAATCTCCCTCAGATTTGATGTGAGGATGATCCTCGTCCGGCGTCACTCGGCAACGACCGCATTGGGTCATATCTAAGACGGCACGCTCCTGCCGAGCTCTCATGGCGACTGCGCATGCCATGGAAGGATGGAAGTCTGGGGCAATTATTCCATGAGGCCGTCGCTGGGCGCCTCGGTGATCGTTGCGGGGGTGAGGTTACTGTAGCGCCTGCCTCACCTCCGATGTGTGCACCTAGTACCATGTTGCGCTGACCATTGCAGTGGGTGCGCATTAGGAAGCAGCGTTCCTAGCTCTGGATCAGTCACGATGCTCACTCACGTCGGATGGACAACATTCCTGCGCGGAATCTGAAATTTCCGCACAGGACGATCTGCCGATGAGGAACACGAGAGTATCCATCCGCGAGCACTAAAGCAGTCTGACATGTTTGCACTGGGGTGCAAAGTTTGCGTTGCATCGTAGAGTGCTAGTGCTCATCCACGCGTGTCTGCGATATGCACTACCACGCTGACGATTTGACGATGTGAGCATACCAGCCCAGATTGAGATCCTGAAGCTAGGGCGGATTGCTTTCATTCCTTCACACGCCGGCAGAAAGTATAGAGTAAAGTTCAAGGCGAGACACCGGCCAGCAGCGACGGAGAATGCCTCACCCTCTAATGGCATCCACACACGCACAACTAAACAAATGAACAACTCATCGCAGCACAAGTGACGATCCCCACCCTACAGCCCTATCGTGAACTGGTGTTTTGTTCACCGTCACTTTCGCGTCTGAGTCGCTCCGTTAGATCGGCACCCTAGCAGAAGTCAGAGTCAGGGTCGACGGCGATACGAGGTGGAAAGAAACGCCGAGCGACCTTTGCCGCTCGTCCAATAACCAGACACGAGCCCTAGACTAACGGACAAGCTACAACACGAGAAAGCGTCCAGGAATATGCTTCATACGGGACCCTGGGTCATGATACTGCATGTCTTCGCCACAATGGCTGCAGACACTGAATATAGAAATCGTAATCGCGTGTGAATTAGCTACGAACTGCAGAGATGCGCGCCGGCGACAAAAAGACATGCCGTTCCGCTACCTATGGAACAAGAAAGATTTTCCCAACCGCAAGCGCCCATCATAATATCCCGTCCCATGAGCGGAGCTTACCGGTTCTTGCGAGACCCGAGAGAGAGGGAGGAAATTATACGCACCCGCGTGAAGCGTTCGCTCTACGCCAGCAGTAACCAAGGTGAAGATCAAAAAGCCCAACTCGTTTCATTCCATCGTTAGGGGGTGTGGGTAAACCAGAAAAGCAAACGCCGAATACCGAAAAACAACCAAAATACTCCAAAGATTCCTATGAGAAACAACAATGCTAGTGTTTCGTGCGAGGGGGGTATCATCGTCATTTGTCACAATCTCATCACAAGAATCCACTCTCGGAGAGAAGCCTAAAACGCCGTTAGCCCCATCTTCTCTCCAAAAGACGCATTCATATCCCCGCTTTGTTGCTGTGTCCTCCTCTTGAAGCGGGGGTTTGATTTGAGTTTTTCTCTCTATCCTTCTAGCCCAGTTTTGGAACGATCAAAGGAGAAATAGGTAGTGTACCTTGCAATCTTTTCGTCCTCGCGTTCTCGTGGTTCGACGCTCAAACTCATCTCGTACATCTCGTGCACGTCGCCTGCAGACTGCATGTTGGTGAGGATGTAGTCTTGCAGCTCGGGCACAGGCTGTAGTGGGTATGGCACGTTTTGGTACTGCTGGATGTCGCGGATCACTTCGGCGGTTTTGGCGCGCTTTGCGAAGTTGATGAGGTTTGTGCGCTTGATCAGCGATGGAATACCATCCTCGATGAAGGTCAAGTCGGTGAGATAGACACCTGGTAACATGGATTAGCCGGCTGATGCAGGGATGCTGCTGGGGCAGTACATACCGAAGAAAGGGATACAGGGTGGATTCGCTCGATGGAGCGTATCTCGGTACTCCGCAAAATTCTTGGTGCTACCCATGAGCTTGCGCATGCTTTCCAGGGTTGCCATAGAGCGCTGGTTGACGGCGCTCCAGGTCCTGTTCAAGCGGTGAATAGGTGCTGTTCCTAGCGCTGAGATGATTGAGGTTAGTGTAGAAAAGTTGTTCAGCTGCCTGCATTTCTGGTTTGTGTTAGCAATAGATGTCGCATGCACGCGTTCGTTGACTTACATCTGCGACATTGACAAAGTGCTTGATGACGATCACTCTGCGCTTGACGTCTTGTTGTGTAAGGATCATCTGTGCGACCCAGTTCGTCAACTGATTGGAGTGGAGAATAAGCGCCTTGACGTTTGCGGCCGGATCAGGTTCACCGGGGGCAAGCTTCTTCTGCCAGGTCTTGTTCAAACACTCCGTAGGGCGAATCTTTCCGTATAGTCTGGATTCGATGATCGTGAGTTGTCGGGCGAATTCCGTTGCGTCAATGTCCAGGAACTTGAGCTTCTTCATGTGTTTGGGCAGAATAGGCTGCGGCGTTTGTGCACTCAACGTGAGGACTAAGCGTTTCGTGGGCATATCTGGGCCGCGAGACCTTTGCTCCACTGATGTCATCAGTGGTGCCGCTCCAGGGGTGCTTGTTGTGGCAACATGATCCTTCGCAAAATTGTACACCCGCTGGATCAGGATGCGTGCTTCCTCGTCGTTACCTTCCATCCAGTAATTGTCGAACCAACTCTTAAGAATATTGACAACTCGGAACCGGATCGGCTTTTGTTTCTTGTCTACCCAGTGCTGATAGTCCTCCTTGGCCAGTCCATGGGGTGGTTGTATACTCCATCGTTTGACCAGCATCTCGAATAGCTCAGAAGCCGTGGTGAATGATCGATACGTAAGCAGGAAGGTGTTGTTGAAAGCTGGATCGAGACGGTCGTGACGCGTCAGTTGCTCGACAAGACCAGCCAAAGTACCACCCTTCAGCTGTGGTGGTACGGATTTGTGATCGTAGGATATTTCGCCCTCATGGTCGAGCTTCAAGTACTCGGGGGTTTCTTCGATCGCCTGCTGTGGAATAACAGGGACTTCACCGAAGAAGTCCTTGAGCTTCTTGTTGCTGTTAGCTGATCGTACTGGCTCGATCTTGCCCTCGTCGACACCAAGAGGTGTGCCTGCACTGTACGTGTCTGCCTTGGGAATGTTGCCAAGCAAAGGTCTCTCTTGTCCAGATGGCCCTCGGGTATGGTTTGGTAGCTCGCTATCGGTGTTTCTCCTTGGGTCTGCACGGCTCACAATGTCGGACAGGGGGACTGTATCCGAAAGTTGTTGCAACAGACCGTATTGCTGGGTGCACGTCGATTCCAGATCTCGGACAACTGCTCGCACCGCATTGATGCGGTCCTCAAGTGAATCACCACGTAGTTCCGCCCACTCGTCTCCCAAGGGTGCGGCTACTCCTTGACACGCAATTACGAGTTCAGATACGAC